TCTCTCTCTCTCTCTCTCTCTCTCTCTCTCTCTCTCTCTCTCTCTCTCTCGACGCTGGCTACACTCGACCTCACACAGACGCGTCCCACAGCGTCGGCCATCCTTCCCCCCCGTGCACACCTTCCCTCCCCTTTGCACCCACTTTCCTCCCCCTCTGCGGCCACCTTCCCTACCCTCGGCGCCCACCTTCCCTACTCTACTCGCCCACCTTCCATCCCCTTCCTGCTCACCTTTCCCGCCTTCTGCGCCCACCCACTGGGGCCACCTAAGCTATGCCGACGACGACGGGATGGCCCAAGAATGTTCCACTGGATACACGGACCGAATAGAACTTCCAAAAACCAATGTGCTGAGAAAGAGAGAGTCTTAAGCTATGACGACGAGGACTTCTACATGGGTGACCCTGCCTCTACGGCCAAAAAAAATTTCGATCTAGATTGCTGCTGCGCAGGAAAAAAAGAAAAAAAAGAAGATCAAATCAAAAGTGATCCAGCCACAAAATATGTTCTTTCGGCAGTTTTTGCCTTTCCATGCCAGGCGTTTTGGTTCGCTAGGCCGAGTCCCTGTTAACACTGCGGGCTTACCGCCACATCGATAGCTTGGAAACGTATTGGTGGTTTAAACCGAGGTGGTTTTCACCTTTTAAGATCTGTAAATTAGCTTTTTTTATCTATCCGGGGACGCTGGACCCAGTTTCCAGCAGCTCATACCAACCCCACTAATAGAAATGCAGTGTCTTAAACTGTCTTTCTCCAACCCAAAAAAAAAAGAGAACAAGAAGGAGAAGAACCGTCAAAACGTTAGCAGCTAGAAGTACTTCAATGCACATGTAAGGAGACTCTCCCTGACGCACCGTCCATGTTCATGTGAGAGTGCAGATATGGAAGCCACACCAAGCACATGAAGTCAAGTTCGCCGCCTCCAATGGAAATTGTTACACAGTGCAGATATGGAAGCCACACCAAACACATGAAGTCAAGTTTGCCGCCTTCAACGGAAATTGTTACACAGTTTCCCACTCAATTGTGGAGCTTCAGTCACCAGGTACCGTACACAAACACGAGAGTATAGGTGATGCTGCTATGGTGAGGCGGCCCCACACAACAGACTCGAACACTTGCAACTCGAGATGACACGTCAACCCGAATTACACAGTTGAAATGAAAGTCAGGCTGCAATGAGCGGCAAGGCGACCGTAAGAGCTTCCGCGAAACTTCCAACTATGAGAGCCCTGTTACTCGCTGATAGAAAAGGTACAAATCAGACCTGGAAGTTTCAACGACATCCAACTCTCAAGGACCTGTCACTCGCTCTATCATAGGAAGACAACAACAACACAGTCTTCCTATGATACAGCCTCTACTGACAACAACACGTCTCCTCGTCCCTCACAGGATCTTCCTCCCTGAACATCGAAGGATCACTCCCCGACGTCTTTACTCTTTTCTCCTCTCACAAAGAACTACTGCAAGTGCCTTGACCTATGTCGCTGCCCTACCCAAAAAGGGACGGCAATTAATTACCGCACGACAGCAGTACAGCCGGACTACTGCAAGTGCCTTGACACATGTCGCTTCCCTACCCAAAAAGGGACGGCAATTAATAACCGCACGACAGCAATACAGTCTCCCTACTCCGCAGCTATGGCTGCCTTCCTTCTTCATCACGCTCCTCTGTAACAGCGAACTGTGCAGCTTTCCTAGAAACTGGTGCCGCACCAATCAACTCTCGAAATGATGAATTCAGGAGTTTTGTCTCCCGGGGCACTTCCCCCGTTGCCCAGAACCCTCGAGATTCCTGCTGGAGGACACTGTACAAAAACTGGTCCGCGGCTCAAGATTCCACAGGCACAGTCAACACAATACAAGCATGGTACGTCAACAGGTAAGGGCCCAGGTACGTCAGCATCAGGTTCCGGGTTTAAACTTCAGCAACATCATTCAGGCATACAGCACAGAACAGCAGACAACAACAACAAACAGATCGCGGGATCGAATCATGCCAGGCAAAGCAAGGTGAAATCCATTTTCGGAGGCCAGATTCTTCAATTTCAACTCTGCCGGTGTTGTAACACAAACCAGTTGTAGTCTAGGGCGCTTATCCACCATTTCGTCTTGTTTGGCTGTCATTGCCATATCAGAAAGTATGATCTGTGAGATGGTGCCTAAGCGTCTAAGGTGCATTTTCTCCTTGTGTTTGTGTGTGTGTTTGTGTGTGTATGTGTGTGCATGTGCGTGTGCATGTGTGTGTGTGTGTGTGTGCATGTGTGTGTGCATGTGTGTGTGCATGGGTCCGTGGGTGTGGTTTTCCTCGTTGTGTGTGTGTGTGTGTGTGTGTGTTTCTGTGTGTGTGTGTGTGTGTGTTTGTTTCTGTGTGTGTGTGTGTGTGTGTGTGTGTGTGTGTGTGTGTGTGTGTGCAAGTGGGTGCACGTGTGGTGGGTGCATGTGTGGTGGGTGAGTTGGTGGGTGGGTCTACCATTGCATTGTCCATGACAATCTGTTTGGTGGGAGAGTCATGGGAAGGGATTCTGTTTTTGTGTTGTGTTATGTTTTTTTCTGCGTTCATTTGGTGAAATCGAACAGAAAGTACCCATCCAGAGCACAATCTTGACATTGGGTGCCTTTTCTACCTTGGCGAAGTTGCTCTTCAACTAAGAAGGGTATGTGCTATCAGTGTTTTGAAATGCCTCTACCTGAGCCAGGCTTCTCCCTCATTCCCCCTCTTCTCTCTCTCTCCCAGCCCGCCCTTAGAGGACCAAAATGGAAGGAATTCATTCACCAGAGATAAAAAAAGCAAATAACAGAATCATAGAATCATACTAAGGCATCCCCCTGTAGAGTTTAGACCCCTTTAGCCCCTTTAAAACGAATTCATACCCCCCYCCCCCCCCCCTTGACAGCCAACTCTCAAGAAAAGGAATGAGCCTGGATTTGGAGTCCTCTGGGCGAGCGCAGAAAAGCAAAAAAAAAAAAAAGGATTTTTTTTTGTCTTTTTGGCAGTTTTTGCATGCCTGGGTACTCCAGCCGTCAGACCCTCCCGGGCATCACGCCCGGGAGCCCGGCCGGGCAGGACCGACCGGGCGTGACAATCTTCCTAGCTAGAAACGAGACGAAAAACCACCATCGTACTCAGCCCTCCTCCTCTGCAACTTTTGTCGTCCGTCCTCCTCCTCTTGCTCTGCCAGCTTTGTCGTCCCTCCTCCACCTCCTCCTCATCGATGTCCCTCCTCTTTCCCCCCCCTCTTGCACCACAGCGATACTCCTGCCTCCTCTGCCTCCTCTCCAGCCCTCGTCCTCCTCTCACCTCTATGGCCACACTCCTTCCTCCTCCTCTCCCCGTCTCAGCACCCCTCTTCATCCGCTCACCGTTGTGGCCGCACTCCTCCCTCCTACTTCCCTTCCCTACTGCATGCTCCTATCCTCTCACTGCTATGGTCTCCTGCCTCCTACACACCTCGTACCACTTCGAAGGCCAATGGCGTGCGGGGGTGCAGCTCCTCTCGAAGGGCACAACAACAATGCAGGCGGGAACATGACTTGGGGCGAATCCGCCCTGCCCTGGCAGCCTATTGTAGGGGACAACCTGATGCTGCCCCACCAACTGGTGGAAGGGTCTGGCGTAGTCCGTTCTTTTTTTTTTCTTTTCTTTTCTTTTTTTCAAGTTGTAAACTTTTTTTCAAAGTTCCTTTGGGGGTCCTATCCAGACCTACTAGCTCAGACAGGACCTGGACAATCGATCGTCTGCGTCTGCATCCCGGTCCGGACGTCCAGCTGGTTACCATGGTTTTCTCTCTTTAAGTTGCGAGGCAAGTTCTCGCCAACCCGCCACTTGAGTTGGGTGGTGCACGATGCCTCCGAGTGAAATTGAGGCCTTAGGCCCTCAAAGGCCTGGAGCATGGGATACGACTGGGTGTACCTGGCCATATTGTTAGCTAGGGTTGTTGAGTACTACCTGGTATTTCCCTGGTGCTTGGTGGCTACTGCCCAGACGCTTCTAGGCCTCACTGTATCTGTCCTTCTTGGCCCGCCGGGTAGTATTAGGTAATTTCTTTTTGGCCACGTTCGGTCTGGTAGGCCCATGAGACTGGTTCCCTCTGAGCCCTATGGGATAACAACCCCCCCTCTCTGCACTCCTTCCTCTGAGACATTCACAAGGGTGAACCCCTGCACATGAAACTTTTAGCAAACAGATTATGTAATCGGTTGGACACAATGATGTTAATTAGGGATTACCCCCCCTTTCTTTCAAATAAAAAGGGAAAAGAAATAAAAAAAGGAGCATGCTTTTTTGCAGTGATAGAGTGATAGTTTACAGTTTTACCCCTTTTTCAACAAAAAAAAAAGAAAAAGAAGGGAAACATCCGAAACAGAAAGAGAAAAGAAGGATAAATTCCTGCATGAGAGTAATAGAGTGATGGAAGTGGAGTAGAAGTTGGCTTGCAGTTCTGACCAGCCGCTCAAGGGTTGATGCGTTTAGGTTTGGAAGTTGACTTGCGGTTGTAGGATGGATATGAAATCACAGAGTTCAAACGTCAATCGTACGGAAGAAGTTCAAACGAGAAGCAAATGTCGTAGCAAATCATGATTGGAAGAAGTACAACAAAGGAAAAGCGTCCCCGACGCCGTGTTTCGACGGCTGCCACACCGTCTTCATCAGGGGGTTATCCACCAGACAAACCCACACTAGTCAAACGTCCCCTCACCCACGTCCGTCCGTCGCTATGGCCGGTCTCCGGAAATCAGCGACAGCTTCGGTCCGTCCGTCCTGAAGGCTGATGTACTTAGGTTTGATCAACGTTCAAAGTTGCAATGGAAACGACTGACGCAATATTATTATTTTTTTTTAATGATAAATGTGCTCTTGATTGGAACAGGGGTGTCTGGCGTATAAGACACCAGCAGTGGATGGAGAAGGACAAAACATAATTCGTGATCGACAAATACAGGGCTTGCCTCAGATCGACCCACATGCAGAGTCCTTGGTAGCAGCCACACTCCTTGGTGGTGTTATTGTGTTCCTTCGTCTGACGAGGTATGTTTCTGTCACCAGCCTTTCTGGTAGGACATTGTTTGTGAGATGATGATGCGATGATCTAAGACTTTTAGGACCTCTCGTACTGTGAATTCTGCAATTCCTTTTGTTTTCCCCCCTCTTAAACCACTAGTACCTTTGCCCAGTGGGAAAATAGTGGGGCCTCGGGTGGGCGTCCGGCCTTTTAGGAGGCCGAAACAAAATGACGGCCGCCGATGAGATTTATCCATGTCAGCCGTTGTCAGGCCTGGCCTCTGATTTTTTTGGAGTTTGGGAACAAGTGCTAGTTTTCCCTATTTTTCCAACACTGGCGGAGGTAATAGACTAATAGTGCTTTAAAGTTTCAACGACCAGTGCACCCGGGCCTGGCGACGCAGCACTGCGCACCAAGCTTTGCTGAACCGCCCGCAGTGCACTTCTTTTCTTTTTTGGCTGATGCCGCCAGGCACTGTGGTCAGGTAGCCCCAAGCCTCCAAAATTTTCATAGGCGATTGTTGCGACTGGCCCGGTGACTGCCCGCTAAGCTGTTGATAGTGTGTTCGAGTCTTGGATTCGTCACATGCTTTCGCGCAGTAACCACCGTAGAAATAATACTACGGAAGTGTGGCTACGTAAGTGGAGTGGAAGTGTGGTTGGGTACACCGGGTCGCGGGATCTCCGTTGTGGGATTCCGTGCTGGGGTGGGGTGAGGTATTCAGGTTTGAGTCCTGGGGCTTCACTTTCACCCCAGCCCACTTAGCCTTATGGTTAGGTGTCTGCCCGCTAAGCCGTTGATAGTGTGTTCGAGTCTTGGATTCGTCACAGGCTCGAATCAGAATGCTCTTATCATGTAAACCAGTAAGAGCAGTACTCTGCTTCGGGTGAACTGGCGGGGCTTAGGGCATCAAAGGATTCATGTGCTGCCGCATTACGGGCCCGGTACCGTGTCCCATTTTCTTTTGTACCTTAGAGCCGAAGTAGAACTTTCGTTCAGGACATCCGTTAAAATTGGAACGATACAGAGAAGATTAGCATGGCCCCTGCGCAAGATAAGAAAAGAAAAAAGAACTTTCCAGTAGGTACTGTGTGGAACAAAATAAATATCTGATGGGATATGACTGGATAGGAACAGTGGAAGGGGCTAACTGGGTGTAGCTCAGTTGGTCAGGCGCTCAAGCGGCACTCAGGAGGTCGTGGGTTCAACTTCCATTGGCCCCATGACAGTGTCTGTGGCATGATTGGCGTCTTACCTTCGAGACAGCCAGCTGGTAATAAAGTACGCGTGGTAGCTCAGTGGGTAGAGCTCCGGCGTTGCGACGGGGAGGTTGCAGATTCGATTATGTCGGCCCTCGGTCTTGTCCGCCCACGATTGGTTGGTGTTAGTTTGGCACCCCGCAATGCCCACATACTTGTCCTCCAGTCTAGAACAGCGCATAAACAGCCGAGGTGTTATAGTAGCTCGGTAGGTTCGAGCTAGGGGCTGTCTTGTCGAGGTTGGGGGTTCAAATCTGCTTCGGCTGGTTTGACCATATTCCATGGCTATAGTAGGGATGCAGGTAGGATTAGGGCTGGGGTAAGGTCCTAGGTGGGGTGATGGGGTCCTGTTTGGGGGGTGGGCTGGTTGGGACGAGCGTTGCTGGAGGAGGAGGAACCTGCAGTAGGGGTTGTCTTAGGGATCCCAGTAGTAGGGGTGTTAGTGGACAGGCTCTGGTGGAGGACATCGTTGGGGAGGGAGATCCTCCAAGATAGGATTGTCTGCGTCCCATCCGAATACAAGATTCTAACATCAACCCTAGCTCATGACGGAAGTAATGGAACGGATGGTGGCCTAGTACATACTAATGACGGAGACTAAGGGCCATTTGCAACCCTATAACAACTACAGAGGGATCTAGGTCGTGACCGAGGTGAGGTAATGGATGATCGGACCGTGGACCCCACCGATGACAGAGGCTTGGATCCCGATGGACTGGTGTTCAATCAAAAATAACATTCAGAATAACCACAATAACAGCATCACTAGGTAGGTAACCTGGGTACCCGTGCAACAGGGGGGCTTGCACGATATCTGATTCAACCAGGACTGAGTGGAGAATTAGGGGTCCCCCGCCCAGCCCGGGTGCCTGCAACCCATGTCTGGTCAGGTCACCTAGCCGAGTTGGTGATGGGTGATTGTCCTGGGKGGTCCAGAGGGGGKGGGGGTGCGCTGGGGTAATTGATCAGAGGAATCGKGGRTGGGGGKYTTCTGAGGGGGGGTAACCGAAAAAAAAAAAAAAAAAAAGGAACAGTAGAAGGTCCTAGAAGTCGATAGGTAAGGGGGCACCAAGCATCCAGTCCCGGTCCCATTGCAGCCGAGTCCCAGGGAAAGGCCATGACAGACCGAATCTCTGTCTGCCGTGATGGGGCCTGGCAGGAAGGGTTCGGAATCACGAGGGAGGCAGAGGCACAGGTATAGAAGGGGGGCCAACATCATTAACCTCTGCTGCTTTGGTTCTGGCACATGCAGAAGCGGTGCTGCATTGCAAGGCACCAAGATCTTGGACGGTGAACAGTGCCGGGAGAGAGAGAGAGTAGTCGACGGCGCTTGGGCGTCATAGCTAGGAGCTTGCGTACATTGGGGGAGAGAGAGGAAGAGCAGCGAGGACATTCAGAGAGTGATCGCAGGACCTGGGTGCAGTAGAGAGAGAGAGAGAGAGAGAGAGAGAGAGAGAGAGAGAGAGAGAGAGAGAGAGAGAGAGAGAAACTTACCTGTTGTCGATGTTGCTGTAGTGGCCATAGCCACAATCTTGGTGAACCTGTGTATATCGTTTCAAGTTGTACGTAAGTTCTCTGTGTGCTTGTTCCGTGTGGATCTTGCTGTTGCGATTTGAATCTTGATCTGCCGTAAGGCGGATCTTTGCAGCATACTCACATGAGGACCTTTTTGAATCAGCTCTGAATGTAGTTATAGTCTGGTACATCCTGGTCTGGCTGTAATTGTGGTGAGATGCATCCAATAAAGTCCTAGCGCGAGTACGCCCCGAGTGAAAAGGGGGTTATCCTCTACACTGGCTAACGGTATTGCATCCACAAATGGCTGGAATTGCGCTTCTGTGCACTTGCAGTTTTTGCAATAAAAGAATTCACATGTCTCGTCACCATACCGCATCTGGACCTGACCTGCCTGGACTAGGTCTGGCATTGTCAGAGAGGGGGGGAAACTGACCAGATACGGTGCGGTTTCGATTTTGGTAATAAAAGGAGGGAACCCTCCGTTGCGGTGGTTCAAAGAAATGAAAACCGTCTTCACCCGAATAGAAAGCCCCGTCATTATATCTGTATTTGGCACAACTTTCAGCCCAGAGACGGCAATAATTACCGGGTGTTCTATGCAGGTGAAGACGGTAGATTAGTCGGAGTGTCTTCTAGTCTCTAAGGCCATAGAGTGGGAATTTTCTTCAGCTGAATCTGGCCAATTGGGGCCATACAAAATCCAGAAAGTCAAGATATGAGTCTGGTCTATAAGACATTTTCCACAGCATAAGCAAAGTTTTTTTTTTTTTTTTTTTGTCCTTTTATCGTTGTGTTTTTCCTCTTTTTCTTAATTGACTAAAAGCTGTTGGCGTTGCTGTGGAGTGTTTTTCATTGTCGTCAGGGAGGAGTATGAATTGCTGGAAGCTCTTCAGCACAGGCTTTCGCTGTACCCGGTCACTGCCCCTGTCTTGGGGAATGATCTCAGCCGCTATCGATATCCTGGCTCTAAGGTACACACTGCACAGGAAGGTTTGGGTGGGAGGAATGAATAAGCATGTGTGGTAGCAATAACGCGATCTTTTTACTGAATCTGACTGTCTGTGCCGTTTGATACATGCACAGACAGAAAGTGTATTATATGAATTTATATCCTCTTTACCCAAAGAAATGCAAAAGCAACATGTCTTCTCCCTCTCTCTTTTGTGCACAGAAGTACCACTCCGTTGTTTTATTCGGACTCTGACTGTCTTTGCGGTTTGACGCATGCCCAGACGGAAAGTGTATTATCATCATCCTCTTTACTCGAACGAATGCAAAAGCGAGAAGCTCGTTATATGGCCTTGCACTGGTATTTAAAAGTATATATAGCCTCCCGATGAGTCGGTGAAACACTCCGACGAAACAGTTTGTCACAGCCCCTCCCTCGTTTATTGTCCTCTTCTCCTCTTCTCCCCCTCCCTCCCTCTCTGCCACTTACGGTTTACCGTCGGCAGTTCTGTTTTACAATGTATGTGGCCTTTCGCTTCAGAACATGCGGCCAAGAATTTCTTTATTTGATGTTCTTTATTTGATGGAAAGCCGGAAAGGTCCGTGCCACGCTGCTCACCAAATATGGTAATGGAGAATGCATCTTCCGCCAAATCGTGGAAAGATGCACACAGTGCCACACGCCATATTTTTGTCTTTTTCCTAGGCTGGGCCGGCGCCCGGCCGGGCGTGCCTGGCCGGGCGGACCCCGGCCGGTTGGGCCTGGGGAGGTCTGCCCGGCTGAACCGGGCGTCGCAAAAACATAGCAAGGAATTTTTTATTTTTTTTTCCGAATGTGGGGTTGTGCTGCGCTGCACTAGAGGACCCCGAATCTGCAATAAAAAAGTACTTCGGGGATTGTG